AAAAAAAAAAAAAAAAAAAAAATCCTTTGGATAGATTCCAAGATAGATGCCTTTGATATCAACTTCAACTGGCTTAGCGGTATTATGGAGACTTTGGTAGTGCACAATCTATTGCTTTAATTTCTGACAACAGAAGTAAATGAAAATAATGATCTGGTGCACTGGAAAGATCCCAGGCCTTTGCAGTCGGGTAACACGGGTCATTTGCTACTTGTACCCTGTGTGACTGAACTACATACCAGCTTCCTTATCTGTAAAACGTAGCTAACACAATGAGAATTAAATCCATGTTAAATCACTTTTTGTAGTACCAGGCTCATAGTAAGTCCTCAATAAATGATATTTGTGAGCAGCTATGCCTCTTTCCCAGAATATTTTTCAGGACTTATGTGGCCTGAACTTCTCTAACAGGAAGCCATTAAAATAAACTAAGTAGAGATTTGGTAAAGCCTACATACTAGTAAAGGTATAATTGCCCTCTAGCAATCTTTTGAAACCCATTGAAAACACCAAAAAGAGGTCGGGTATGGTGGCTCATGCCTGTAATCCCAGCACTTTGGAAGGCCAAAGTGGGAGGATCGCTCAAGGCTAGGAGTTCAAGACCAACCTGGCCAACATAGCAAAACCCCATCTATTAAAAAAAAAATACATGAACAAATAATTTAAAAAAATTTTTAAACACCAGAAAAAAAGAAAACCTCATTTTCAATGGATCAATTAAACAGCCATGTTATCAGTCAGATTTCTTAGCTACATCAGAAATTGATTCTTGCTGATATAAGCAGGAAAAAGAGAACCAAAGAGATTTCAGGTAGCTTACTGACTCACTGTGAGGGCTTGGAGAATCAGGGTCAGAAAATGACTAGGAACAAATGGAGACAAGGAAGTGATGGGACTGCCTGGGGAGAAGACTGCTGTGCAGCTGAGTCCAGGTCATCCTGGCGGCACCGCCACCCGCACTGGATGGTTGATGCTGCCACAGGGAACTGTTGGCCCGGAAACTGCAGGAGGCAGTCATAGAAATCGATTCCCCACTGTCCCCAGTCCTTTCTTCACTCACACAGTCACTTCAGGTTCTGTGGCAGCCATTTTGGTACCATGAGAGGAGGCATTGCCAAGCAGCCAAGGGAGGAAGGTGTTGGAAGAACCTGGTTCTGGGAGGATATCTTTAAGCCACTGAATCCACCTGTGGACTGCCTTCCTCCAGACCTGTATGATTTAGGTTGTTATGATTTGGGTTTCTTTTTTTTTTTTTTTTTTTTTTTTTAGACAGAGTCTCACTCTTTTGTCAGTTGCCAGGCTGGAGTGCAGTGGCACAATCTTGGCTCACTGCAACCTCCGATTCCCTGGTTCTAGCAATTCTCCTGCCTCAGCCTCCCGAGTAGCTGGGATTACAGGCATGTGCCACCACACCCAGCTAATTTTTGTATTTTTGTATTTTTAACAGAATACATGTTTCACCATGTTGGCCAGGATGGTCTCGATCTCCTGATCTTGTGATCCGCCTGCCTCAGGCTTCCAAAGTGCTGGGATTACAGGCATGAGCCACTGTGCCCAACTGATTTGGGTCATTTTTAAATGTATTGCCGTCGTTGTTACTTAAAGCCGGATACACCCTAACTGATAGATTCCATTGAAATAGTTGGGCTCAAGCAGCCTGATCTATTCCAGAGCTCCTCTTTTTGCCTGTTCACCATTGTCATGAGAAACCTAAAATGGGCCAATAATTCAGCTGCTAATTCGGTGGAGCCATTGCTTTATTGCCCTGACGATTCCTCCTTGGATTCTAAATCCTCTGTATCATTGGAGTACTGAGTTATGGAGAACATAAGCAAAACTTCCCACGTGGGGGTGGCGTATAACTCCAGCTTCCATCCTCTTGATTCGCAGATGAGTATATTCTTGCTATGGCAGAAATGGCACCACAGATTGGCCGCTTGTTCAAAAAATAAAGTTCACCCTCTAGAACCACAAGTAACCTCACCTGCCTTTCTTTCTAATAAGACACTGTAACTGGGCCTTGGAAGGGCCGTTCCATTCCTCTGTTGTAGGTGGTGTGGTTGTGAGCAGTGGTGGTTATAAGCAGTAGCAGTTACGAGTGTAGGCTCGAGCTGGACTGCCTGGGTTCAAGTCTCAGACCCCACTTACTGAGTGACGAGAGTCGGTCTATTAGCCATACTTGCTTTAGTGTCCTCTTCTTAGAAATTAATATAATTATGGTAATTATTTCAAAAGGCTGTTTTAAGGGTTAAATGAGTTGTCATAGGAGAGGTTCTTAGTGGAGTACCCAGCATGTAAATATGAGTTGTCATTACTGTTCTGTAAGGCCAGCAGCTTTGGGTGTTAAGAAACAAGTCCTGTACATTCCATTTATTGCCTTGCTTCATTCAGAGAGCAGTCAGCTCTTTGGTCAGAATCAGGCTGCTGGGCCGCCTGCTGGTGTCCTTGGCATCCATTGCTTCTACAGATCATGAGGACAGAAACATGAAGCATGGTGGGCAGGGACAGCAACTCTGAGCCCAGGGCATAGATTTGTTCCAGAGAGGGTGAACTGCTGCCCTCCCACTTGCAGGAGGAGTCCAGTGTTACTGAGGACTGGCTGGATGCCTCGGGAATATGGTTGCATATTCAAACCCCAGGATTAGTTAACACTGAGAACAAGTTGGGCACTCAGAAGTGGCGATAGCCAGTGACAATAGCACCTCTTCCCCAAGGACAGAAGCAAAGGCCATGGTGGTAAACCTATGAATATACTTGCTCTGTCACTGGGTCCCAGGATAGTTATTAATGAACCTATTGAATAAGCCTTGAGAGAGAGGAACGTTTACTCAGATGACTGAGTAAAGAAGATCTGTCCTCACCAATATGGGTAGGCATCACCCAATTCACTGAGGACCCAAATAGCACAAAAAGGTGGAGGAAGGATTGATTCTCTCTCTTTTGGAAGCGGTACATCTATCTTCTGCCCTTGGACATCTGTATTCTTGGTTCTTGAGCTTTCAGCTCTGCACTAAATTATACCACTGCTTATAGATGGCAGATCATGGAACTTCTTGGCCTCCATAAAGGCATGAACCAGTTCCCGTAATCTCTCTCTCTCTCTTCCTATATATATATATGTGTGTGTGTGTGTGTGTGTGTGTGTGTGTGTGTGTATATATACATATATAGATATCCTATAATAGGATATATAGAGATACATCTTGATACAGTTTGGGTATTTGTCCCCACCCAAATCTCGTGTTGAATTGTGATCCCCAGTGCTGGAGGTGGGGCCTGGTGGGAGGAGTTTGGGTCATGGGGGTGGATCTCTCATGGTTTGGTGCTGTCTTGACGATAGTGAGTTCTCACAAGATCTGGTCATTCAAAAGTGACCCCCACCCTCTTACTTGCTCCTGCTTTTGCCATGTGGTGTGCCTTTTCCCCCTTCACCTTATTCTACCATTGAAAGCTCCCTGAGGCTTCACAAGAAGCTGAGCAGATATCAGCACCATGCTTCCTATAAAGCCTGCAGAACTGTGAGCCAATTAAACTTCTTTTCTTTATCAATTACCCAGCCTCAGATATTTTTATAGCAATGCAAAAAGAGCCTAATGTATGTCTCCTTCTGGTTCCATTTCTCTGGAAAACCTTGACTTATACACTTGTGTAAAACAGGGGTTCACAAATATTTTCTGTAAAGGGCCAGACTGTAAATATTTTAAGGGCCATACTCAACTTTAACATGATAGTGTTAAGATATAAGATACGGCTGGGCGCGGTGGCTCAAGCCTGTAATCCCAGCACTTTGGGAGGCCGAGGCGGGTGGATCACGAGGTCAAGAGATCGAGACCATCCTGGTCAACA